ACAATTCTCAGCGTTGCCATACTATGTATATATATTTATACTTAACAACTTCCTCCTAAAGATAATTGTATAAATAAATCAGAAATATTTCATAACTCATTATTTGGATTGTTCTTATGACTAGTTTACAATTATGATTTAGAATTCATGTGAAGAAAAGTAACGATATTAATTGTTCCGATTGTCATTTTTGTTCAATCTTTGAGGAGCAATCTGTTCTGTGATTTTTACTCTAGCTCTTGCAGCTGTTTGTCTCGTTTCACGTCTTTCAATATTATTTGGAATAGAATCGCTTGCATCTTTGAATACATCATCTTCCTCTGAAAGGTCGTCAATCTCAACCAGCGGCTCTTCAAATTTCACAACAGCTCTTGCTTCCGACGGTATATTCGTTTCCTCGAAAGGCTCCTCAGACAATGTTTCAGTATTAACATCGGAACGATTAATTATTTGATCAAGATGTCTTTTAATGTCACGTTTATCGCGTGTCAAATAGCAAGTGTAATTTCTTGGACCTAGTTTTTTTTTTTATTACAGCCGGAGACCAAACTGCTTTATTTGGATTTTTGTAGTCTCGAACATAAACGTTTTGACCTACAGAAAAGTTTACTTTGCGTTTCCCTTTGTAATTTTTAACTGCATTTATTTGCTTGGACTCAATAATGTCTTTAGTAGTTGGTGGCTGCATAAGACTAAATCGAGATTTAAGTTCGCGATTGAGCAAAAGTTTTGATGGAGATTCATTGGTTGTGCAATGTTTTGTGATTCGGTAATCAAATAGAAAACGTTGTAAAATTACATCAAAATTATGCACTTCATTTTGTTCTAAAGTTGCTATAAGAGATTTTTTTATTGTTTTCACAAAATTTTCTGCTTGTCCGTTAGTGGACGGATGACCTGGTGCAGTGCGACTTAATTTGATTCCATTTGCTTTAGCAAAAGCTTGAAACTCCAAAGAAGTAAATTGTCTTCCGTTGTCACTGACCAGTACATCACACAACCCAAAACGACTGAAGACTTCCCGCAATTTATTTATTGTGAATGTAGCAGTTATGACCTTTGTTTTGAAAACTTCGGGCCATTTCGAAAAAGAATCAATTATCAAAAATAAATAATAGCCGTGGACAGGGCCAGCAAAATCCACGTGAATACGTTTCCAAGCTGAATAAGTTGGTTCCCATGGAATTAAAAAACTTTTCTCCGGATTTGCTTGGTATTTTTGACATGGTTCACAAGTCTTTATCATATTCTCAATATCTTTATCAATATTTGGCCAATACACATATGATCTAGCTAAAGATTTTGTTTTAACTATACCTAAGTGCGATTTGTGTAATTCTTGTAGCACGTTTCCTTGTAATTTACTCGGAATAACCGTACGATAACCCCATAAAATGCATCCTGATTCAACAGTCAGCTCAGATGCTTTGGTTTTGAATGCATTAAATTCATTACCACCCAAGTTCAAAAGTGTACCATTTAAAATGGAGTTTGCGACCTTAGAAAGAATAGCATCGCGACGTGTATATTTAGCTATTGCTAGAAAATCTAGCTGAAGCGGATTAACGAAATTCACATAGTTGATGTATGTGCTCTCAGGCTTAGTGTCCGGATTCTCAATTTGACCTATGCGTGATAAACTATCCGCGCTGTTTAAAGAACCTTTAATATATTCGATGGTGTAATTAAATCCAGTTAATATGAACGCCCATCGTTGCATTCGCGCAGCTGCCATTATTGGAATACCTTTGCGATCACCAAAAATAGCGAGCAATGGTCTATGATCAGTTTGTAGTACAAAATGCATACCCAGTAAATACTGTTTTAATCTGATCACGCTGAAGATTATGGCTAATGCTTCCTTCTCTATAGTGCTGTAATTTAATTCCGCATTATTTAATGCTCTAGAGACGTAAGCAATTGGCCTCATTGTGCCGTCCTTGTACTTATGAGACAAAACTCCAGCAATGGCTGTGTTGCATGCGTCGGTGCATAGAACTAATGGCAGTTCCTGATTAAAATGTACTAAAACTTTGTCAGAACAAATCTCTGATTTCATTAATTCAAATGCCTTTTGACAGTCAGAGTTCCATTTGAAATCGACATCTTTTTTAAGAAGTTTGTACAGAGGACACATTTTTTTTGCGAAATTTTGAATAAAATTGGAATGATAATTTACCATTCCTATGAATGCTCGAAGCTCTGAAATATTTTGTGGTCTTGGTGCGTTCAGCACGTTCTGCATTCGATCTTGGTTTTTGGTTAGACCATCTTTTGTGATGTCAAATCCCAAGTAAGAAATTTTCGTTTTAAAAAAATTCGCATTTGTTAACATTAAGTTTCAAGCCAGCTGACTTTAACTTGGTCAAAACCAATCGCAATGTCTTCAAATGCCCAGCTAGGTCAACACCTGTAACCGTTATGTCATCTTGATAGACGAATACATTTTTAATAGATTGCAACAGGTTTTCCATTACTTTTTGAAAAATGGCTGCTGCTGGTTTAACACCAAATGGCAGCCTGGTCATTTTAAAAATGCCTTTGTGTGTACTCCAGGTACATAATTTTTGTGCATCTTCGTCAAGCACGAGTTGGTTGTATGCGTTTGACATGTCTAACTTTGTAAAAAGTTTACCTCCTTCCATTGATGCGAAAATTTGATCAATTCGAGGTAAGGGGTATCTAAAGTCACTCAAATATTTATTTATTGTGACCTTATAATCACCACAAATCCGGATTTCTCCAGATGGTTTAAGCAAAGGAACAAGTGGTGTTCCCCAATCTGAATTGTCGACGGAAACCAGCATTCCTTTGTCAACTAACTCGTCTAGTTTTTTCTCAACTGTTTCTCGCCATGCTATGGGTATAGGTCTTGGTTTGAAAAATACAGGAACTGCATCTTTCGAAATTGGTAAAGAAATTGTTGATATATTGTATTTACCCAAACCACTTTGAAATACTTCAGCAAATTCTGCTTTAATTTGTTCAATTATTTCATTATACGTGTTTAAATAATTCACTGAATTTGATTTGGAAGTAACATTACTAGTATTAGAATTCAGACCTAGCTCACCGGAAGAAAACGATTCCTTTTTTGAACTCAAATTAGATTGAGTTAACTCAAAACCTAGGGAACGAAGAAAGTCTCGCCCTAATAAGGTTGGCCTGTCTGTATTTGTAACTACAAATTTACCATAAATTTTTTGTCCATTGAAATTAACACAAGCTTTAAACTCACCAATAATATTAATCAGGTTACCTGTGTATCCGGTGTATGGTACTGAACATTGCTGTAGCACCTTTCGATCGAAATACGCATCGAATGTATTAGCTGACATTAGAGAACAAGGAGCGCCGGTGTCGCACAGCGTTGTTATTTGTACTCCGTTAACCTCAACCTTCAGGGTATAATGATTCAGTGCAGCGTTTCCATGGATGGCATATACGGAAAAATTAAAATCGCTAGTTTCATTCATACCAATGCTATAAATAGAATCAAAAAAATTATTAGAATATTTTTCATGTGTTGAATCAACAAATTGAACATTTTTATCACTCTTAAGTTTACGGTTGCAAATGTTTGCCAAATGCCCAACTGAGCCGCAAAAATGGCAAGTGCTGTTCTTGAATTTGCAGGTGTTGGATTGGTGGTTTTTCCATCCACAGTGTGTACATTTCGATACTTTGCTCGCTTTGCTGTTGTTGTTGTTCGACCTTACTGCGTTGCTCTTGTAGTTTTTGTTGTTAAATTTGCCACGTTGTTTGATGTAATTAACTTCAATATCATTGCTTGATTGAGCCAGCTTCGTTTCACGTATTAATGCCTTTTGTAAAGCCTTGGAGAGGGTCAATTTTTCGTCCTCTTCACAGATTTTCTCGAAAATCTTTCCAGGCAGTTCAACCACAAATTTATGCAAAATAATGGTGTCCAATGCTGCACCGAATTTACAATTTACTGCAAGTTTTTTTATCCGAGCAAACCACGCAGATACGCTTTCGCTTTCAGCTCTTTTCGCTGCATAAAATCTTTTAATTTCATTAAAAACGATGACTGGAGGTGTGAATTGTTGTTGCAGTATTTCACACAATTCCTTGTATGACTTTGTACATGGTAGTGCTGGACTACAAATTCCTCGTAAAATGGCGTATGCTTCTGATCCAATCGTTTTCAACAATGTTGATACTCTATCCGTGTCATCACTGCACTTTATTTCCAAGAAATGTAGTTCGAGTCTCTCGTGCCATAATTCCCAATTTTCTGTGATACTGAATTCTGGCATAGACACAGCTTGAAATACTCTCATCTCGTTGGGAGGTGCCATTTCTATTTGGATGTGTAGTTATTTGCGAAATTCCGTAATGAAAATATCAATTACTCAGGTTTTGCAAACTTTTTTATTAAGTTAAATAACTTTTGTTGGTTATAAAATATATAAACCTTTTTACTCGTCGCCAAATGTGATGTTTAATAGTCGAAGGTTCAGCAAAGAAGAAAGAGAGTTCTTTA